GCTGCTTCATCTCTCAGTCCGCTGAGCGAACACAGAGGTGTTACGTGTTCCACCGTGCAGCAAAATGAAATCGCAAGTCAGAGCGGTGGCCAGACTGGGGATTTTTCCACTGTCCCTTCCTGTAGCACAGCCCATGGATGCTCATGGCCCTCCACTCGCCTGGACCGAGCAGGCGGGAGTCGGGCAGCCTCCCTGCCTTCGTTTGCTCCCCCGTAGGCCAGGCCTGGTCAGGCTGAGGGACCTTCGCTGTGGTTTTGCTGTGTCCCTCCTACTCGAGGCCCTTTCTGCCTGCCTGTGCAGGGTCTCCTACCTCTCAAGGACCGTTGTTGCAACCCAGCAGACCTCTCTGCCCCATGCGGAGCGATTGACAGTGACTGCTCCCTCCGCCGAGGCTTTCTGGGCCTGTCCAGTTCACTCCCCCTACCCGGTCCCCTGTGTCACCTTGCTGGGCCCTCCTTTCTCCACGGTGGCTTGTCTCCCTGGGCGATCCCTTTTACGACTGTCCCTACACAGTGGACTCCCATTCTGCGTTCACCTCCAGGGCTTGGGATATCCGCCTGCCTGTGGCAGTGCCTCAGGGTGCGTCCTTGCACTTGGCCCCCTCACTGTCTGGTGTGAAGAGGTCACAGCACTGTCCACTGGCCTTCTGGGCCAGAACTTGGGACTTGTTCTTAAATCTTCCCCGCCGCCGGCCAACCTTTCCGGGTTCCGCCAGCAATCTCTAGCTCCACTGTTGGTCCCCTACCCTGGGCTGGGCTCCCACAGCAGCCTGTTCTCGGCACCGCAGCGCAGGGAGCCCTCCAGTCACAGGTCTATGGCAGTCCCGGCTGACTGCTGCCAGCGCATCCCCATTATTTTTAGGAGGTGACCAAACCCCGTTATGTGGCAAGTAGTGCCCTGTGCTTAGCTCCCCTTGGGCTGCTTCCTGGGGAGCTGCGGGACCATTCCCATCTGGGGCTCCAGCCCCCACCCCAAATTCTCTGAGAGCCTGTGTTGGAGCCCTCGCACAGGATGATCCGGGTGGGTTCCTCGAGAGATGCATGTGTCCCTGTCCCTGAGGCCAGGGCAGGCCTGCCTTGTCGGTGTTGGGATGTGTGTTGGGATCGGGCCGTGCCCTGTGTCAGATGTGCTTCCCTGGGGCTGCCTCTTGGGGATTTGAGGAGAGCACCGGGTTCCCACCTGACCCGTGTCTGCTGAAGGTAGTCCCTGCCGCAGCCCTCCACTTCTTTCCACTTGATGTTTTTTTGGAATTCTACAAATTAAGCTTTAATACTTTGAAATTATACATGTGTATAGTTAGGAGAGCAAACGAGTTCTACAAGGTTAATTAAGGAAAACAGTAATTTCTAGCTGCCCCTCCTTTCCCCTCCCCTGAGTCAACTACTTCTAATTCTTATAGTGGATTCTTTTGATGCTTATCTCTTCTGTAAATGACATGCTTGTATTGCTACTTGATTTTTTTTACTGGCTTATTTATTGACTTGCAAGATGAGCGTTGAAGTCTTTTTCCACACACAAGTGCTTGCTCATTCACAGGCACACACGTGCACACCACACACATGCATGCACACATACATACATACACAACATACACATGGACACACACGTACCCAGGCCCGCATGCCCACATACATACATACACAACATACACATGGACACACACGTACCCAGGCCCGCATGCCCACACATGGGCATGCACGCCCACACATGGGCATGCACACACATGTACATGCACACACTTCCTGCCTCCCCTCCTCCCTGTGTAGCGACGTTGTTCTGTCATACTCCCAGGTCGATAGGGCTTCCCGAATCATAACCACACCTGCTACTGAGAACTGAACCTGCTGGTGGTAAACCAGGAGGATTCGTCTCCTGCCCAACCTTTTGTTTTCCCTGGAGTTCATAATTGCCTTTGTTTGCCTGGGTGTCATGTACTTCTCGGGAGCTTAATCTGAATCTCTTCTCCAGTTCTCTGTCTCACTTTCCTGCACGTCGATGGTCTGATGTTCCGTCTTCCTGAAGAAGTGTCTCTAGGACCTTCTTCTGGGGCCTGGTCATCAGGTTGCTCTCCTTGCCCGGGTCTCCTTCACCCTCCTCCTTCCTCACGCAGTCCCTGGTTTTGATAGTGCATGTCCTCGAGCACTTCCTGAGAAGGGGTGCATGGAGGGGTGTTTGCAGACCCTGGGTGTTGGAAACATCCTCCTGTGGCCCTCGCCCTAGTGCTCCTTCTAGCACTGGGGCCATGGGGACCTCCCAGGTCACTGTGGGCTCCGGTTCTGGAGGTGGAACTTGGGGACACTTTTGCCTGGGGACACTCTCCACATCCAGGCGTCCTGATGTTTCACAGGGCTCGTGGTGACCTCTCTAGTTCTGGGCAGTCATTTTGAGTCCTGTTTGTGACGATTCCCTTCCCTTGGCTTTTTCCGGCTCTCCCTGGAATTCCTGTTACTCGGCTGTAGAAACTCCCGGGCAGATCCCCTTGTCTCCCTTTTGATTTCTGTGTCATTTTGTTCTACTTTCTGGGAGATGGCAGCTCTGCCCTTCCCCTTTCCGTGGAGCTCTTCACTTCCGCTCGCAAATTTTCATTTCTCAACACTCTTCTGTGTTCTCTGGAAGTCCCTTCTTTCAGTGTCCTGTTCCTGTCTCTGCGTTCTCACGACGGCAGTGTGTGCCGAGTCTCTCTGGGGGCATTAATGGGCCCTCGCTGTCTGGGCTCATCTCTCAGAGGGCAGTACAGTAGGAACACGTGCGCTGGACCCGAAACCTTTCTCTGCCAGCCACCAGCTATGTGACCCTGGGAAGGTTACCTCACCTCTCTGTGCCTCAGTTTCCTCATCTGCAGGGTGAAGACGATAGTGGCTCTAGGTTTACAGGCTTGGTGTGAGGATGAGCCCGTGAAAAGAGTAAAGCATTTAGTGAGTGTTTTATAAACATGTGCTGAGTGTTTTATAAATGTTAGCTGGTCCCCTGTTACTTTTTAAAGTTTTCTTCTCTGGATAGGTTCTGTTTCCTCCAGGTTGTGTTTCCCGCAATGTCTTGGGCTGTCTTCCATGTCAGAGGTTTTCCCCTGTGGGGCCCTGGTGTGTGGGGCGCCCTCCACTCACAGGGCTGAGACCTGCCTCCCACATCTCCCGACCCTCACCCAGGGCTCCCTGATTGCCACCTGCGCTTCAGGGCCTGCTCTTCTCCAGGCGAGCAGACACCGCAAGCCTCCTCCCCCCGGGAAGTGTGGAGAACGTGGAGGGAGACATAGTGGTGACTTTGGGCAGGCATTGGGACGTGAGGCTTGAGAAACCCATGGAGATTGTGGTCTGATGGCCCCTGGGGGTCCCTGAGTCCCTTTCGGGGGTCCCCAAGGTCCTCCCTCTGCCAACTGCATCCCTATGCAGGGCCATATTTCTTCCTATGCCCCAACCAGAACTACGCGGTGCAGCAGCTTGCGCCAGAGCAGGCGGAGTCCATCTCTGCCGAGCCTGCCCAGAGACCGACACAAGTGTAGGACGGGACCACTGCTCTCTGAGGGGTCTTGTTTTGTAAAATATAGTTACTTTTATAAAAATATATTATTTATGTTAGCAGTAATGTGTTTATTATTTCAAATGAATTCATAAATATATTTTTTAAGTCTCTGCTTTAATTTCTAATGGAGTAACTATTGGTGGGTAGAACCCACGTCAGCCAAAGCTCCTGGGCTCCTCGATGCTTCTCAGCAGTGTCATGGGGCCCCGAGACCCAAGTGCTTGGGGCCCACCAGACTAGGTGGTGTCCTGGTGCCACCCACTGTAGATGGGGCCAGGTGGCATAGGCTGGGCCTCTTGCTTGGAGGGGACAGGGCCATGCCACCTCCGCCACCCTGATTCTGGGAATTCGGGCCTGCCTCTCACCCTGTGTGAAGCTTACTTTGTGCTTCACCTGCCTCTGGCTTCGGGAGTTTGTGTGGTTGCGCTGAACACTGTGAAGTGTTCAGAACCTGGCTGGCCTGGACTGTGGGCTCTGTAGTGATATTGTTAGGATGCAGGCAGATCAGACAGATGTCCCCGCAGGCATTCGCGCACACAGGGGTGACACCGCAGAGGCAGGGAACCTGTGGATGGCAGCTCTGGCTGTGTCCAGGCTGGAGAGTTCCCTCTTGTTGTGTGCTCTGAGTCCCTGGAGCTAGGCTCATGGGAGGAGGGGTTTAGCGGGATGCCAAGCTGCCCCAGGCCAGGGATAGCTGGTGTTGTGATGAGGTTGGTGCGTGCCAACACAGTGAAGTATGTATTTGCTGTTTGTAACCCTTAATGTGTTTCCATTTATTTCTCACAACAACCCTAAGAGGTAGGTCCTTTTATTCCCTTCACTTGATGGGTGAGGAAACTGAAGCCCAGAGAGGTCCAGTAGCTTGTACCCAGCTGCATAGGTAACAAGGCCAGGGCGGAGTCACCTCCAGGAAGCCTGACCCCAGCTCTCCCACCCCATCATGTGCGTCTCAGGAAGACGGAGCTAGATGTAGACCGGGGGGCAGGAACTGTGTGGTTTTCAGCCCTAGTGCGGGTCCTGGCTCACACCGTACAGTGACACACGGCTGCATGTTGGGGGAGCAGCGGGAACCAGTGTTCTTGGAAGCCAGGCAGGGATGGGCTTGTGGGGGGCTTGGAGAGCAAGGGCTCCAAGTGGGACATCTGTGGTCTTTAATAGCCAGCAAGAGGGCTCGCCTAGCTGGGAATCCCATAGGGAGGGGCGGGGCCTGCCCTCATCAGGGCTGTGTCGTGTTCCCATACTGGGGCCAGTGGAATGAGAGGCCGCCAGAAGGGCTTGGTGGGGGTTGCTGCCCTGGGGGTGGCGAGGAGCCTGGGTGGCCTTGGGAACAGGCACAGCAGAGCCAGGCTCAGGGGTTGGGGCAGGCATGAGGCCCTGTGAATCTGAGCTTTAACCCTCTCCTCTTTGCCTTCCTCTCCCCTCCCTTTTTATGGTTCCTCCAGCTCAGCAAGGAGGCTGCTGGGCCTGCCCTCTGTAAGAAGATGTCTTATGGATCCATCACTGGCGGAGGTGGCCTGGGGAGCCGCAGCCCTTTCGGGGCACCCTCAAGACAAGGCTATCAGCCCCTAGGTAATGACAGCAGCTGGCAGCGGGGGTGGTGGGATAGCAGTGGGCGGGGACTTCAGGCTCAGTCGTGCTGATGGCTAAGTAGAGGGCTTCTGTTCTTCTGAGAAACCTTGCCTGTGACCTGAGACCATGGGTGACTGTTGAGCTCCAGCCTGGCGCGATTTGGGTGTCAGGAGAGGAAGGATGCTGAACGGCTGCCCTATTTTGGGGGACAGACCTAGGTGTCCAAGATCCTGCTCTGAGGATAGAGGTGGCGCATAGAGTACCAGCTGCTGGGCGGTGGTGCTCTGGGTGTTTGGAGAATGGCTGAGTGGATGAGCAATGTTCTCTAGTCTTCCTAATGGCAGTGTGAAACAGGTGGCTCTGCGCAGCGGGCAAAGGAGGACACTGGGGCTGTGGGGTGACAGACACCTCCCCACTGCCATGCAGAGGGAGCTGGGCAGAGCTGGGACCTACTTCTAGATATTTCTGAGTTCCAAGCCTCTGCTCTTTCTGCTCCACCAAGCTTGACTTTCCACCTCCCACTGCAGGCTATCAGGATCCTGTGGTGGCCCCTGGCCTTGCCCCGGCCCGTGTCCTCCCCGCCACCCTCAGCTCGGGCTGTGGAACTGGCCTGGAAGGTGCCCTCCAGGTGGCAGGCCCAGTAATGGATGTTTTGGCCACAGGTTCTCTCATCTGGCTCCCAGCATCAGGTCAGGACAGCCTCCAGGAGTAGGGAAGGGGATCGAATTTGGGGCCTCTGAGCTCTTGGCTTACTTCTGTCTGCTCAGGCCTTGGGCTCAGCCTAGCAGCTGCCTTAGGGCAGGAACTGTCCCCCACCCTGGGGCTGGGCTCCCGTGGATCCTCAGGGCCCCTCTCAGGGTGTGGAGGTGCGTGTGTGGGTGTGTGCACCTAGAGTTCAAGTACAGTAGTTTAGAGATGGACGACCCTGACACCTACCTCCACCCTTTCTCCATCCCACATCCTTCCCCCCTTGCCCTGAATCACATATTTATTGCTTTTTCCTTTTCTTCATAGTTTTACTTATGTGTGCTCATATCCCTAAACAGTGTGTTGCTGAGTTTTGCATTTTTGAACTTCATTTACTGGGATCGTGTGATTTGTATGTACCCACCATTTGCGTTATGTGTTGTGTTCTGAGAGCGTCTATGGTGTGCATAGGTGCCGTTCTTTTTGTTTTTCCTGCTGCACTGTATTTGATTCTTTGCGTGCACCACGGTGTCTGTGCCTATTCCACGCCTGAGGGGCACTGAGGTTGTCTCCCGCGTCCCTCAGTGACAGCGTTGCTGAGCGCCTGTGCCTGCAGTCCAGGGCCTCCCAGGGTCAGAGGAGGCACGGAGGTCCCGCGGCTGGGCACCCACGGCACGCTGATGCTCGCTCCCACACGGAGCTCCCTTCACGCCATGTCCTTGTCAGCACCAAGGTGTCAGATGGTGACTTTTTGCCAGCCTGGTGGGTGTGCAATTGTTTCTTCCTGTTTCAGCTGATACTCTCTGGAAACTAATGGGACGGATCGTCTTTTAATACATTTATTGGCTGTTTGGGTCTTAACTCTTTTGCTTAACTCTTTTTGTTTATTTTCTCTTGGGTTTGTCTTGTACTAATTGATTTGCAAGATTTCCTTCTACGTCTGGAGAGGAAACCCTTGTCAGACGTGCTGCACACATCCCGGTCCAGTTCGGGCATGCTTCTCAGTGTGGCACCTGCTCGTGACAAGGGCCCAGCAAGGACACACTTGAATTTATCAGTCGTTTCTCTCATGGTTTGCGTTTTTCTGTTTAGTTTCATAACGTCTATCACAAGATGATAATGATATTATCCTATGTTTTCCTCTACAGATTATGTAATTTGTTTTTCGTATTTAAGTTTTTAATCCAGCTGGAATTGGTTTTTGTTTATGGTGTGAGGTAGAGTGAGCCTGGAAGGGAAGCTCTAATGGTGGTGTTTCTGTATTTGCATAACAAATTGTCTGGGCTATTTATTCTGTCTTTTTTTGTAGTCCTGCAGTGACAGCTGTGTGATAGTGAAAGTTTCCATATGGGTTCTTTTGCTCAATTTTTCTATTCCTATGTCAAAATCCACCTTAATTTCTATAGCTTTATTGTAATTCTCATTATTTTTTAGGGCAAGTTGCGCTTCTTATATTTCTACAGAAACTTCTTGAGTATTTTTGACTCTTTGACATTGAGCATAAATTTTAGAATCACCTCGTCAAACCTTTGGAGTTTTGACTGGAATTTCAGTGCGTCTGCTGGACGCATGTGGGGAGAATGGACATCATCATTCTGAGTCTTCTAGTACATTGTAAGTGGTGCCATTCTGAACGTTATGTTTTCCAACGTTTGTTGCTGGTCTGTGCACAAGCAAGGTTTTTTTTTTTTTGAGATAGGGTCTTGCTTTGTCTCCAGGCTGGAGTGCACTGGTGTGATCATAGCTCACTATAGCTCGAACTCCTAGGCTCCAGCGATCTTCCCACCTCAGCCTCCCAGCGTGCCAGGATTACAGGCATGAGACAGTGGGCTTTTAAAAAAAGCAAAGTCTGGAGATTTTATTTAATTTTTAAATGTTTTGTTCATTAATGTTCTAAATATGGAAAATTTCAAACACCAGAAGTAGACACAATCATGTAGGGAACCCCAGTGCTTCCCTCAGCTTCCTTTGCCACTGCTGGTGGCCAGTCTGGCCGCAGTTGTGCCCTGCCTGCTCCCTGCTGTGTCATTTTGAAGTAAATCCCAGACATCAGATCATCTCCTCTGTTACTATTTCAGTGTGTCTCCAAAAGAGGACTCCTTTCATACACGGCCGCGTCCCATGGTAATGCCTCATTTCAGCCACGGTGCTGAGTCTGCCGTTCGGGTCGCCGGCGGCTTCGAGGAGGCACCGTGTCTTCACAGTGCGTGTTTGAAGCAGGGGCCTAGAAAGAGCCACGTGCTGTGGTTGGTCCATGTGCCTGAGTCTTCATCTCCATGTTCCCCTCCATCATTTTTTACCCTTGAAGTTCACCCTTGAAGAAAGCAGGCTTCCCCGTGTAGTGCAATTGGTTTTCGTCTACTGACTCCATATCCGGCCATTTTGCCAAACTTTTTTTATTAATTGTAATCATTTGCCTGTGCAATCTTTTGAGCTTTCTATGTCGTTGGCGTCATTTGTGAATAATGATAGTTTTTCTCTCTTCTTTTCCAGCGCTTTCACCTTTTATTTGTTTTTCTTCCCTCTGTGAGCTGGCTGGAACCTCACTACGATGTTGAGTGGAAATGGTGATCGTGTTCTTTCTGAGTCTGTGGAAAAATGGGATTGTGTGTTGTTGAATGTTTCTGGGATTTTGCTATGAAACTGTCGGGGTCTAGTGTCTTGTCTTTGTTGAAAGTTTTTGAACTATCAATTGATTTCTCTAGTTGTAAAAACTCGTTCAAGTTTTCTGTTTTCTCATGGGTCGGTTTTAAGTTACCTTTTTCTGGAAATGTGTCTGCTTTATCAAAATGTTCGATTTGTTGAATAAAATCGTAGCCTTTCCAGGCCAAGTGTAAGCTGGGGCAGCATCGTGCGGTGGTTACAGTGGTTAGGAGTACGGACTTGTACAGCAGCGGGCTGGCCCTTCTGCCTGGAAGGGGGGCTGAGGGCTGGCCTGGGAACTGCACCCTCGCAGGGGAGCGAGGCTGCTTCCGCCTGCGCATGGAGCACCCAGGGGCCTTGCCATTCTCGCTTCCAGGCCACGTGAGGGCTCACGGTTGTGGCTGTTTCATTAACGTCAGCAATACGTGAATCACATCCCCTTTTTTATTCCTAATATTGTATGTTTGTACCTTCTATTTTCTTCTGTAATCAATATTGACAGAGACTTGGCAATTTTACAAATCTCTACAAAGATGTGACTTCTGGCTTTCTTGATCCTTTCTGTTAGATGTCAGTTTTAACATTTGATTGATTTCTGCTCGTGTTTTTGTTATTTTCCTCGTTTTTTCTTTGAGTTGATACTATTTTATTCATCTAACTCCCAGATTAGATGTTTATAAACCTCATTCATCTTCAATATTCAATTTTTATTCTTTTCTAATAAAAGCACTTAAAATTATAAATTTCTAAAGGATCACTGCTTTAGTTGAATATCACACATTTTAAAATATGTAGTATTTTTATTTTTGTTCAGTTCTAAATATCTTCTTATTTCCATTATGATTTCTTCTTTGACCCAGGAGTTTTTTAGAAGTGTATTTCATCGTTCCCAAACATTCGTATTTTTTTGGTAATTTTTTTAAAAAAATGATTTCTAACCTAATTGCATTTCTGTTGGAAAAGGATCGGTACTGTCCTGATTTGTTGAAAATTGTGGAGACTGGGGCCTGGTGTTTCTTTATGCTCTCCTCTGCCCTGCATGACTGGGGAAGGCTTCCGTGTGGGTGGGCCTGGCCTTTGAGGCCTGTAGGAGCTGGGAAAGGACAGGGTCTGGAGGACAAGATGGCCATGGGCATAGGAATCGCTGCAGTTATCCAGCCCCTGCTGTGTGCCAAGGTCCTTGCTACCCTATTTATGGCAGTGCCTCAGGGCCATCTCTTCATCCTAATGTTCCATAGACAAAGGCAGCAAGAAAACAACTGGCAGATTGTTCACACATAAAGAACTCGAATGAGGCCTGGCATGGTGGCTCACACCTGTAATCTAAGCACTCTGGGAGGCTGAGGCGGGGAGGATCACTTGAGCTCAGGAGTTCAAGACTAGCCTGGGCAACATAGTGAGACCCCATCTCTACAAAAAATAGAAAAATTAGCTGGGCGTGGTGGCATGTGCCTATAGTCCGAGGCAGGAAGATTGCCTGACCCAGGAGTTTGAGGTTGCAGTGAGCTGGGATGACACCAGTGCACTCTACCCAGGGTGACAGAGCAAGATTCTGTAGCAAAAACAAAACAAAACAAAAAGAACTCAAATGAATAGAAGGGAACCCCCCAATCTCCATAAAAACTGGACGGGTCTACAGACAGCTACAGACAGCTAGGATGGCTGGTTAGTGCGTGAGGAGTGGTCAGCCTCACTGGTGACCTCAGAGATGGAAACTGAGGTGCCCATACATGCTGGCGCCAGCCTCTGGCGGAAGTGGGCACTGTAAGGAGAGGCAGGGTGCTGCTATCTCCTCCCAGGGTCTGGGCACAGTCAGCTTGAGGGCACCTTGAAATAGTCCCTCTCTTGGCCCGGCCATGCCTCTTTTTGGGCTCTGTCTTAGGAGGTAATCAGCAATGTGGGCACAGGTGTTCACCGTAGCATGTCAGTTCAGAAATGCTGGAAATGTCTAGCTTTGGGGAAATAATTGAGAAAGTGAGGGTTCGTGACAGAACACGATGCAGTCGTTGAAATCACATTGTTGGAAATCCTTGAGTGAGCCCTGTGTGAGTTACAGTTAATGGTAATACAAATGCAAGAAGCAAGACCATACACTCAATATTTTAGTTGTATGAAACAACTGCCCCACCCCCCCAGTGTTAATAATTTTTAATGTTTCATTTCTGGATGTTGTGATCTTTATTTTTTATTTACAATTGTCTGCATTTAATTTTTTTTCTGTAATTTGTGCATATTATTCTAATAAAAAACAAACAGTAACAGCCCCAGGCCTGCCTGCCCTCGCCTCCCTTCCCCTCCTCTTCCCTCCCCTCCAGAGTTGTGGGTTCCTTTGATTCAGGTGGGCAGAGCGTACTGGCCCCTCCAAGGGTGTCTGGGGACAGCATGGGGTAGTGTGGTGCTGGCAGAACTTGGACTTGGGGTGAGTGGATGCCGGCGTGGTGAGGTGATAGGGTGTCCTTGTGCATCAGCTGCCAGCGGGCCTGCAGTCTCTCTGGGCCTAGGCAGGGGACCCACCCTGGAGTAGATGGGCACCTAGTCACCGAGTGTCTGGATTCCCTGCTTGTGCACTGTTGTCTGGGGCAGCGACTGTTGGGGTGGGGGTTTTGGGTCTGGAGAGTATGTCTCTGCCAGGAGAGAATGGCATCTGGAAGCTGGAGGGACAGGCCTTGGCCTAGGGGCTTATGGTCACTCAGATACTCAGAGAAGCCTACGACTTGGTGGCTTCAGCCTGGGCCTCAGCCTGGGCCTCCCTCCCGGGTGTGGGGATTGCAGACTGCTCTTGTTCTGGCTCTGAGATCCACCTTGCTGCAGTTCTCTGTCCTGTAGAAAGCTGTACCCCCAAATAAGCTAGACTGCCCCTGCCCGCCACCATTTCCTTGTGCGCCCTCCTCCCCTCATCCCCCCAGGGCCAGAGCTGGGGGATGAGTGGGCCCCATTCCAGGACAGTGAGTTGGGGGCACTGGAGGCCCTCCCCGAGTCTGTGCCACCAGCAGGGCCTGCCTCTGCCTGTGTGGTTTGGGGCCTCTGGGACCTCTCCCACCTCTTGGGGAGGGCTCGGTGAGAGCCTTTGGGGCAGTCCTTCCTTGCCTGTCACGCTGGCTGCGGTGGCCCCCCAGGGCATGCCGAGCTTTCTTCTCCAGGGGTTACACGAAGGGCCTTTTCCAAGAGCTGCTGCTTCAGGCGCACAATGTGGAGAGGGGACTCAGGGTGTCTGTGCTGACCTGGGGACTCGCTAGAGGCCGTTGGCGTGGTCAGCAAGAACATCTAGGCCAGCTGCGTTGTGACCTGCTGGGTGGTCAAGAGTGTCTCAGTCTCCTCAGGGAGCACCTGAGGGAGCAGGTTGCAGACAGCCTCCTGGGGTCTCCTTTCCATGCCCTCACCCTGGCGCATGCTGCGTGTCATTGGCTCTGGGAGGCCATGGATTGAAAGGCACATCTTTATTCCAGAGATGTTAAGATATTTTTATAAGGTACATTTGAGGATAGACGAATTTTAGTAAAATGTGTCTAGAAATGGTGGTGTTTGAATAAATGGAAATTATTAGAGAAAATTAAGATGCGTCCTTTGTGGGGTTCAAACCCCAGAGTGGTGGAGGGTGCCACAGGGACCTCTGTGGTGGTGCCTCGGCCACGCTGCCAGGCGTGGGGTGGAAGCGTGTTGTTTTGCTTTTCGCTTCTCGTATACCATGGAACAATATTTTTATAAAATACAATAGAACGCCCCCGTACTGGGATGTCGTGGCAATCTTGAAATGCCATGAATCATAATGAAGCCTGACTCTCCACGTTGGGACCCCATTGCTGCAGAGGGTAATGTAATACCCACCCAAGTTTCACCTGTGACCACATCTCCAGGACTGATTTAGGGGGTTGTGGCCTAGTTTGGGGTCACCTTTCAGAAGAACTGTGGTTCAGAGAAAAATTGAGAATACCTAAAGTTCTGAACTCCATGCTGGTATTCAGAAAAAGGGGGGCGTTCTGGAGGCCATGGCAGTCAGGGAGGGCTTCCTGAAGGAGGTGGGCCCCAGTAGAGCTTCTTCAGCTTGGGTGCCTGCTGTCTGTGCATGGGTCCTGGCACCGCCAGCAGCACCCTGAGCTGCTTGCGCAGGCAGGCTGGGAGTAATTGTGACTGTCCCTTGCTGTCCGTAGAGTGCGCTAGATGTTGGACCGAGTATGGAATCCGCCATTTCCCCTGCCCATCGCCAGAGAGCAACTCACAGGACCCCTGTGTGGGGAAGGACGGGGAAGGCGATCTGGGGCCGGCAGGTGCACCCAGAGTCCCGAGGGCCAGGAAGCGAGGTACTTCCACTCAGACGCTGGGTCTGGGGGGTCCCGGGGAGGCCACTCAGAGATGCTGGCGCTGAGGAGGGAGGGGTCCACAGGCTGGAGCTGTGGCGGTACCCAGGCAGCTGCAGGGTAGGAGGCTGGGGCAGGTGCTGAGGCCTGTCTCACCCTCGCCCCTGCTGCCCTCTCCCCCAAAAGGAGGACGGATGGCATGGCCAGTCCAGACCGGCCATAGGAGGGAAGCATGTGATGGCCGGGGCCGTTAGGCCCTGTAGGCTCAGGGACCAGGGCTGCACAGTGGGACGAAGGGGCACTCATGCCCGGGGGTCTGGACCTGCTCACCGGGCCCCTTTGCCCGGAGCCTGATTGTCCTTGTGGAGAGGGCTGGTGAGGGGGTGTGAGGGTCCTTGGGGTGTGATTCAGGGAGGAATAGGTGCGGTGGCCTCTGCAGAGGTGGGCCTGGGTAGGCTTCCCTCCTGGCAGAGAGGTCCCTTCCGGGTGCTTCCAGCAAGACAGGACCTGGAGGGAGAAGCCCACTCTTGAGTGCTTCCTCCTGGTGGGGCTCAGACATGCCCTCGGGAGCCTTCTGTTGTTGGGGCCACTGTCCCTGCCTTTGGGAAACCTTAGTCCTCTGACCCTACAGAGCCATACCCCTGGCAACACACCTGTCCCTGTCATCAGGAAGCCAGTCTGGTTCTGACAAAGTCATATGTGAGCAAAGACACAGAGACCCGGGCACTGTTTGTTGGGCCAGCCCCCACGAGCTCCGGGCTGAAGGGAGGAGGGAAGCTGCAGAGCAGGCTGTCTCGCCACCACCTGCCCTCAGCCGGAGTGCGGGAGGCATGCCGAGGCAGCACTCACGGGGCTCTAGAGGTCCTGCAGCTGCCAGGCAGGCAGGTGTGAATGGCATCCTGCATGTCAGCCGGTGAGGGCTTTCCCCAGGCCAGGGATATCCCCAGGAGCAGCACCAGCCCTGGCTCCAGAGCACCTTTCCCTGGGGCCTGAGGATAAGAGATGCATGCAGAGGGCCAGGTCTGACCGCCAGGGCCTGTCCCAGCTCCCTTGCCCTGATGGTGGCTATGGAAGGCAGGTGGGGCCTGTTTTGGAGATGGAGCACTATGGCCCAGAAGTTAGGTACCTTGCTGATGGCACCTTGCAAGGCAGTGGCAGAACCGGGAGGCTTGGACCCAGGTCTCTGGACACCCAGCAGAGTGAGGTGGTGGCTAGGAGCGGGCAGCTGTGTCCTGAAACAGAAGCCAAAGAGGATGCTCCCCAGGGAGCTGCTGTCGGAGCTGCTGCTTCCCCTGCGCCTGGAGCCTTAAACACCCACCTTTTGGTGCCTTTCCAGGGCCAGGGGTTGCCCCTGAAGGCAGCCGGACACCAGAGCCCACCTCGCCACCCACCACTGGCCCGAGAAAGGACTTGGCTGCTGGGCCCCATGGCCGCATGACGGGACCCAGTGCCAGCCGGGCCAAGAAGAGGAAGCCCAACTTCTGTCCACAGGAGACTGAGGTGCTGGTGTCCAAGGTGAGCAAGCACCACCAGCTGCTGTTCGGCACAGGGCTGCTGAAGGCCGAGCCCACCCGCAGGTACCGCGTGTGGAGCCGCATTCTGCAGGCCGTGAACGCACTGGGCTACTGTCGCCGTGATGTCGTGGACCTGAAGCACAAGTGGCGGGACCTGAGAGCGGTTGTGCGGCGCAAGCTGGGCGACCTCCGGAAGGCAGCCCACGGCCCTGACCCAGGCTCTGGCAAGCCCCAGCCCCTGGCACTCACACCCGTAGAGCAGGTGGTGGCCAAGACCTTCTCCTGCCAGGCCCTGCCCTCCGAGGGCTTTGGCCTGGAGCCGCTCAGAGGTGAGTTCCTCGCTGCAGGCTGCCCCACCAGGGCACTGCTCTGGCCACCTGGAGGGTGGGCCCGCCTCGGCCCTATTGCCCTGCTCCCTACTGCACAGGGACCTCCTCTCCTCTTCCTTGGCTTCCTCCTCTTCCCCCTGTCATCACCTGGAGCGTCCTTGTTCACTCACCCCGCGCTCCACTCCCTCGCGCAGCCATCCACACATCTGTGCGTCTGGCAAACATTTTTAAAGTCTGAAGGGAGCTTCAAGGTAAACTGTGACTCCCTGTCCTGGTCCTGAGCCGAGCACATGCAAACACAGTAGCCGGGGCCGTCATCTCGTGGTCGTCTGGTCCTGCGCGTGCACCGTGGCTATGGTGAGACGTCCGGGTGCTGGCGCTGCCCCGCGTGGACACACACACAGATGCAGGCATTCAACAGTGCTCACCCTCTGACGTTCCAGACCTGCCGATCTTCTTCTGTCCTGTCCTGTCCTATCCATTAAAATAAAAGCTAGTTGTGACTTTCTAAATTGGTTTCATGACGTGGGTCTCAGAGCTGCGGTTTGAAACATACTGCTCTGTTACTGTTTTTAACACCCAGGAGAGGCCTCCGTAGTGGGTGGTCCAGCCCTGCAGTGTCAAGGTGGGCAGGTTGAGACCCGGGAGGGAGGATTTGCTGGGGCCACGTTGGGACCTCTGTGGAGACCTTGCGGCTCAGGCAGAGTCCTTTTCCTCCAGGGCAGCATCAGTCTGTTGGTGTCCAGGGGGTCGGGAGGTTGACAGAGGTCAGTGTGGGCCCAGTGTCCAGCAGCTACAAGCGTGGGGACCCAGACGGCCGCTGGGCAGTAGGTACGGTGCAGACGTGCTGCGGGCCCGGCAGGCACTCGGGGCCGTGGACTGGTGCATGAGGCCGCGGTGCAGCTGGAGAGGCGGAAGAGGAGGGTAGCATCGTGGTGCCTGCACTGGACTCCAGCTGCAGGGGTGAGGTTGCCTGCTGCAATGGAAGCTGCCCAGACAGGTCACGCTGCTGGGGCTGGACGGCTCCCCGGAGTGCAGGGCTGCAGCGGGTCAGCCAAGGTTCTCCTCAAGACACAGGCGTGAGCCGTGTGTGCTGCAAGGATGGCGACGCCTGGAAGTGACAGTGCCTGGAAGAGGTTCCCAGCAGGTGTTGCCAGCCCCACCTGGACAAACAGACCTCGCAGGGCGCTAAAAGGCACCCAGATGGGGCGGCCTCCCCACTTAGCCCTCAGTGTGAGGTGGCAGGAAGTGGCAGCCCCAGGGCCTGGCCATCTGGCCCTTGCTGCAGGACATTGCTCGTGGTGGGTTGGGTCCCCTGGGAGTGCGTCTCCAGGACAGCCTTTCCTCTTGGAAGAGTCAGGGGTGCGGTATGGGGGTCCTTTCTGGCAGTTGCTGGGAGAACCGTCTGCTTCTGAAGATGCTTCTGGTACTGGAGTATGGAGCCAGCCCCAGGGCCTCCCCTTGCTCTGTGTGCTGCAAGGACAGGCTCTCTGTCCTCTGCCAGCTGCCACGATGGGAAGATGTAGGAAGTGGCAAAGTTAGAGGTCCTTACCACAAGGACTGGGCTGCCAGAGAGCAGCTTGCTGGGTGGTGAGTGGTCGAGTGGATGGTGACATTGACGGGGTGACCTTGACATCATGGAGGACGAGGTGGTGCCTGGGGGAGGTGGTGGGACGGCTTGGCCCCGAGCAGCCACCCAGGGCAAGAGCCCATTCACTCCCCTGTGCTGGCCTCGCAGCTGACTCCTGGCTGCTTCCTGCTATCCTGGCCCATGTCGCAGCCCCAGGCCAGCTGGGTGCATCCTCCTGACGTGCAGTCATGTCCCTGTGTCTCCCATGTCCAGGCCTTTCCTCGCTCCACCAGTGCCCCCTGCACATGGCCAGAGCTGTGACCCGGTAGGCCAGTGCTGCCCTTCCTGTGCTTCCATGCACCCTGTCCTCTGCGCACTCCGAACTGCCGCTGCTGGAAAGAGGACACCACTTGACGCTGTGGTGCCTTTGCGTATGTCGCTCCCTGTGTCCCTCCTCCCCACATTCTCCACCTCACACACAGTAGGGGTCAGGGTCCCAGGACCCCCCTTGCCCTGCTCCCCCTGTGGTCGTCGCCTGGGAAGATGTAACCGAGAGGCATTGAGCATCACACAGCAGCGTGTCCTTGCGAAGTCACCGTGCTTCAGGAACGTCTGAATTCTTCACTCCAGGCTGCCAGGGCTGGCCCGGGGTGCTGATGATAACCCTCACATAGTCAGTCACAGGCTGAGATTTGGGATTTCTCCATTTCTCCTTGAAGCTGCAATCGTGGGTGTGTAGAGGCTTAGAGCGGGGAGGGCCTGGTGGATCAGACCTCCATCCCACTAGCTCTCTCTCCTTGTGTCTCTCCCCCAGCTGGACAAAGGGGTGAGCAGGGAGCCTCCCGGGACCAGGAGGCAGCTGGCCACCAGTGTCCTGCTGAGGTTATACGAGCAGAATCTGGCCACTGCCGCTAGGCCCTGGAGGCCAGGGAAAAGTCCTGTGGTTCTGTGATGGTGGAGGGCTGGTGGGGGTTCTGTCCCACCCTTCTCTGGGGTTGCTCCCTGTAGACCTGTGCACACCCCACGTCCTGTCTGTAGCAGGGGTGACATTCAGTGAGTTGGGCTGGCCACACTGAGCCCTGAGGCTATGTTGGGTGCCATGCTTAGGTGCACACACAACAGCCTGTTCGGGGACTCTACTGTCACCCCCACTCAACAGGGAGGGATAGAGGCAGCAAGCATGGAAGTGGTCCCCGCCGAGTGGGGCACTGGGTATCAGGCTGAGTCCCTCAGGCTGTGGAAGTGAGAACGCCCTGTGCTTCCCCTCCTGGGGAGAGGGGTACTCAGCCTGCGTCTGGGGTGCCACACCAGGCAGGGCTACATGCTGTTGTCACTGGGCCTCATTCTGCCTGAAACCAGGTCGGGACGTCATCCTTCCATCCAGCTCCTCTGGCAGACGGGGAGCTGTGTGGCCTAGGGTCATGCCTAGTGGGGACAGAGCCTGGCAGCCAGTCAGCTTGTTGGGCAGCCCGAGCAGCCAGGCAGGCGTGGGGAGGGGTGTTGGGTGTCTGGGGGTCTTGGTGCTGACTGTGGATTGACTGTGTGGGTGGCTCCCTTGAGCTCCTGCCCTGGGGGCCTCCCCTCCTCCTGTGGCCGCAGGTGCCTTTGGGACCTGGTTAAAGGAAGAGCTGCTTATTAGAGCAGATGGGGATGGGGGGGTGTCCAGACCCTCGTAATTCCCCATAATTGCTAAATGTTCATTAAAAGCCTTCATGTGTCTTCCTGCAGCGGGCACATAACGCGGTGTCTGCAGTGAGACGTGGGGAGGTGCAGGCCCTGGCAGGGAGGCGCTTGCTTGCTTTTGGTGCTGTTGGAACGTCCCGTTATCTCTGCTCACAAGAGGGGTGGAGGGTGGGGATGAGATGGGAGAGAAAGCCCTGATGATAAGCACTGCCTATTTTTTATTTGATTTTACTGAGTGCAAACAAAGCCACTTCGGTGGTGTGCAGATGGAGTCTGGGAAGTAGACTCAGGGCGTGTTGGGGAGAGGACCGACAAGGGGGTGACCCTCCTGCCCTCCTTCAGACACAGGCCAGGGCCGCGGATCGTTCAGCTCTGTCTTGTGAAAGCTGGTGCCTCTGGCCACGTGGCTGCCCCTCCAAGGAAGGCTGTACCCAACAGACCTATACCCCAGCGCCTGCCTTGGGACTCCTGTATTTTCCTGTCCAGACGTGCGCTCCCTGAAGCCAGACCACGTGTCCTGTTTCTACGACACTTGCACGTATTGCCCGGTTGGCCCAGTGGGAGAATGAAGAGGACAGGATGCCCGTGCTGTAGTTGGCGGGTAGCGGCGTAGTGTTAGGTGGCCACCTGCCTCGTGGCTGAGGACCCCAGAAGGAAGGGAGCGGTGCTCTGGAGGCGGTCTCGCGGCCTGCCTGGTGACAGGACAGTGTGCACCTTGGTTCCCTCAGGTGCGAGTTTATACCGTTATTCAACAGAAACTTCTGGAACATGTAGTTCGTTTTGCTGGGTCCTGGTCTAGAAACTCAGAGGTGGGCTGGCCTGTGGGAGGCGGTGGGCTGCAGAGGGCCAAAGCTGTGTCGGGGAGGCCCACCCAGCTGCACTTGACCTCTGGCCAGAAGAGCGATGGGCCAAGCGAGATCCCAGGCTGGGGAGGCTGGTGCTGGGAAGACCTGGCTGTGCGGTCGTGGCGCACAGAGAGGGAAGGCACCTGGCTGGGAGCAGAGACAGGGTGAGGCTTCTGCCATACCTCTTCTCTGGAACCCAGGCAGTGACTTCTTTGGAGTTTAATTGACATACACTGTGGTGCATCCATTTAAGGGTACAGTTCAATGAGAGTTGGCCAGTATGCACCCCCATAACTTCAGCCCCAGTGAAGGTGAAGAACATTTCCATGATGTCAGAGGGTTCCCTCTGCCCCTTCCTGGTCAGCCACCCCTGCCCCAGCTCAAGGCCAAGGCCACCACTAATTCGCTTTTTGCTACTCTAGATTAGGTCTCTCTTTCCAGAGTCCGACACACGTGGAGCCGTGTAGTATGTACTCTTTTGTGTCTGCCTGCCTTAGCCAGTGTGTTTGTTGTGTGTATCAGTGGTTCCTCCCTTTCCATGGGGTGATAAGTATCTAGTTGAATTACTGGTCATATGGTTGGTGTAACTTTTTAAGAAATGCCCAAGCTGTTCTCCAGAGTACTTGTACTATTTTAAGTTCCCCCAAACAGCAGGGGGGAGCTTCAGTTGCTCTACATCCACGCCAACTCTTGCTCTTGTCAGTGCTTTTAGTGTAGCCGTTCTGTGGATGGTGCTATGGTGTGGATATTTGATCCTCCAAACCTCATGTTGAAAGTTGATCCCCAGTGTTGGCGGAGGGGCCTACTGCAAGGTGTGTGTGTCTTAGGGGTGGGCTCCTCATGAGTAGATTAATGCCCTCTATCCTCCCTGGGGGGTAAGTGAGTTCTTACTTTGTTAGTTC